AAGTAGTAGATTAGGATAGTGCGCTGACAAGATTAGATATGTATTGATCGATTCGCTTGAAGTCGCCCAATCTACTACTCTAGAGCGATTTCCAATCGATATGTATCTGATCTTGCTTGCACAATATCCGGCACTATTGCACTATTACAACCCCAGTAGGGGTAAGATGGGTCAAAATTTTTTTCGCTGAAACTTTTCCTATGGGGGTTATCGAGGGTCTAACTCTAACTTTTGCCATACGGTGCGTGGTTTACCCACTCCGGAGTTTCACCCCCCCCCCCCTTCCCTAAGCTTAGTCCTAGGCGCTAAAGTGAGTGAGAAATGGATGTCATATTCGTGATCAGGACCCTCGATAACCCCCATAGCAGAAGTTTCAGCGAAAATTATTTTTTGACCCATCTCACCCCTACTGGGGTTGTAATAGTGCAATAGTGCCCAATATCCTAACGTACTACCATCTTAATATCTTATCACCTATATCCTAATCTCCCAAATCGCGAACTATGAACGCGGCCTTACTGAACACCTAAACTCAATACTTTTGCTCAAAAATTACTACAGCTCCCATTTAGAAAAAATCACTCACGCAACTTACAACTCCACTGAAGCGTGCTGCTGGTGAAGAACGAACGCAGCCAGGTTTGATTTCAAAAGATCCGAATTTTTGAAATTCCTTGCCTTCTGAATCTCAATTTTCAGAGAAGAAGAAACCGGATACAACTTTCCTGTTGCCGAGTTTGCCTCCAGTGAGAATCAGCCGTATGTCTGGTTTGACAGCCGAGCAACATGAACGTATCACTGCAGCTAACGCTAAGAAAATGTAAATAGTCCACGTAATAATATTGTTATTAAGGTCACTTAAGCGTAATAAAATACGATCGGGTACTGTAGATCAGTACATCAAGATGGAAGGGGTCAGACAATTTCAAAAGCTTATTTGGCGCTAAGGGCATGGGTGATGAGATTTAGTGTGATTTCCTAATGGATGCGCAGAAGATAAGCAGATCAAAGGCGTACTGCTCACAACTAGAGCCTGGGTTACGATTCGAAGGTTAACAGTCGTATCTGGACGATATTGAAATTTGCGACCCCCTGGAGATGGACCCCTATTCGGATTGGTGAGGTAAGCCGCGATTGATATGATTAGCGAGGACAGGACGAGTGAGTGCGTGTTTTTAACACAGTCACACCAACACAATGCATCTATCATATTTACCTACCTATCGGCTATCTTGTACGTTACGTCGTAATCCGCGTTCTTCGTAATCAAGCAGGTGCGGTATCTCGTCCGTAAGTTCACACTAGCCGCCATCAGATCACTTTGTAAGGCCCCAGCGCAGTTGTCGGGCACTTTCGAGCCGAGACGATGGCACATCGGTGGTGATGTTCGTGGGCTAATCTATCCCACCCACAGAATAGATTCGTCGACACGACCTCATCTGGGGTTGTTGCTTCAAGAGACGGCCAAGAATACGTGGTCACCACTCGTAGAGCGCTGTGAAGCTACCGTGTTCAAACAAGTGTTTTAACACGAGTGTACATGTCTGCTACAACTAAAGGCGTATGCCAGAGCAGCACAGCCTTCAACTTGTTTTTTGGTTATTTGGGGATGTATAGTTACCGCAAAAATTTGCTCCTAACATACCCTATCCGATTACTAATCAATTTCGTTAGTATTTTGCGTTTTGTCTATTCTTTTCCGAAGAACTTTTTTGGGGTTCACACAATCCTCAATGATATGTTAAGCTTTTCTATTTAATAGCGCCCTTAAACCGCATAGATAGGTCCGCTTTCATTTTTGCGAAAAGTCTCACGCTTTTGCATACCTACCTAAGGGGACGGAGGACCTAAGGGACGGGAGTGGAAATCGAGGTTACCGTGCGCTGCGTAGTTCTCAGCGAGGCTTCGTAATTTAATTTTTTTTTTAAGGTGACGTTGTGGTATTAGGGTTGTCGAAGTGTTCACTAAGCTAACAAAAAAAAGGCTAGGGTAGAATTTTTCGATTTGTGGTGTGTTGTGTTGTTGGAGGGATTATGGTGGTGGGACAGGAAGGTGCATTGGCGGGTTTTCCGACAAGTTTAGTGGAAGTTGGAAAGGGTAAGCATAAAGTGGTCGAAATTGGAGGATTTTTCGTTTCATTTAGACATATTCACCCCGTCCCCCTCTCCCCACCAGGGTCAACCGTCCGTTTGACAAAAGTCCATCGTGGGGGTCGTATTTGGCCGACGAAAAGGGGGGTCGTATTCGCATTCGTCTGCTCGACGGCTATTTCGGAGAAGTGTGGGTGGACGTTGGACTGTGTCTACTGATCACAGAATCAAATACTATTGTTAACGGCTGGAGGGGGGTCGTATCGAGGCCCTCCAGAAGGGGGGGGGTCCGTGGTCGTAAAATTTTTGAAATTTGTCCAACGTGGCGGTTGGCCCTTCTCCCCCCCCCCCAACTCGCTTCCCGCTCCTCGGCGACCTTCCGCTGAAGGGAAGGTGGGCGTTGATTGGAGCGGTTCGACTTGCCTCAAACTCACCTCCATACTCGAAAAACGGTCCATGAATGCGAGGGTGGCGTCTGGTAGGGGGTTGTATGGAGAACTCCCCCCCCCCCGCTGAGCCATGAACTGGTCATATATTCGCTGCTCGAGGGAGGGGTATCCATGACCGCTCTCTATTAATCCTCGCATGATTGACATTGTTAGTTTCTTCTGCTCAAGCCTCCGAGATTTTGTGCTTAATTTTACTTCCGCTACGCTTTCGGTTCGCACCCTTCTTTTCAGGGGAAAAGGAGGTTGTAAATTTCGGAATCGAAACAACAAACGGTCCACCCTGGTGGGAGCTCGTGCAGCAACCAAAAACAATACCAAGAATGGGATTTCATTCCGCGTAGTCTCCTGCTATTTTTCATTTTTTGCTATTTTTGGCTCCGCTTGGCATGTTCCCTTTCTTTGCCTCGGAGTGGCTGATTGTCGGCCTGGAACATTTTCCCTGCTTATGAATTGTGGTAAAAAATCACGGGATGTTTGCAGCGAAGCCTTGTGTTTGCAGCGAAGGCTGTCAAACTCACTATGGCCGAAGCATTACCACCAAAAGCAAAACGGCCAGGAGCTCCAGTGGATCCAAATGCACCGCCCAGGAAGAGAGGACGTCCAAAAGGGGTGGGCAGTTTTATCTCTCACATAACTCTAAACAAGCGCGATTCGTACTGCATGGAAAAGTTGTTAGTAAATAATAAGCGATAGGTAGATAGATAGAGAAGATAGATAGAACAATAATATACCATCGAAAGCTGAGCTAAGGTGAAATGTCCCGGTAGTGTGAGCGGTAGCACGCTTACCCAGTGCGCTCGCAAGAAGAAGCGGGTTCTATTCCCATCTGGGCTGGGCTGTTACATTTGAGAAGGAAAGAAATGTTGCGGACCAGGGTTGTGATCAAGTCAATGCCTTGCTTTTGCTACATATTTGAAAGGTATAACGAAAAATGTTACATTGCTAGATTGCTAGCCAAAAATGTGGAAAGGCTGAAAATTGATGGAATGGAACGTTTTGCCCTTCGTATACCTTTCTTCTCCAACGATCTGCAAGCTTCCATTTGAACAGCTCTTCCAATAATGGTTTTTTGTCACGCCCCGTGTTTATGACCCATCCACAGAACTAAAAACGCAATTTCTTCAAGTTGTTCGCCTATGGTGAACCGAATCGCTTTACTTATCACCTTGTTCAAGATCTACATCCCAAGAAACTGTAAAAGGAACTTTTTTGAGTAAGGTAGCAGTTCCACGATCGTGCACTGGTGCAACTCGGAAGTGCGCGACGGGAATGCTAGGTGTTGCTTTGACCGCTTTAACCCTCTCTTTACTCATTCGTGGCGTCTGCGTCCTCACGTACGGTATGCTCTCTCACGTATTCCCTCTCTTCGCCGTGCTGTGTCTCTTCGCCGCATCACAGTCGACCTCATAAGAGAACAAATTCTCAACTGCAGAGTATCCTATGGCTCCTTTTGCTTTCTCAGCTTGCTGACAGTCCTGTTCACTCCTCCTGTTTCTATCTCGAGCGGACTAGCACACCGATTCGGTCGCGATCTGTCCTTGAAGCTCTGCACAATTATGCCAAGTCTTTGGGCAGCTAAATAGAATTTCGCCATGAAAGATCTGGAAATCTGGAACAGTAGTAGGAACAAAATGAGCAAATAACCTACGATTTCACGAAATTTAGAGCGTCAACAAGCCAAGACTAAATGGCGCGCAAGCTTCTGCTTCGCTTGCTGGACAGCATTCGGTGAGAATCACATTTAATCGTATTCGTAAGGCACATGTCCTCAAAGGATGGATAGATTACTGCATAGTACTGATTTACCAAACTATTCAAGAGGAAAGTGGGAGCAGCAGTGGTGATTGACGGGGGTCGTAGTTTGTTGAAGTTTGTGGTGGGGGGTCGTACTTGTTTCGGTAGCGTGAAATTACATGTGATGAGGTGACGACCCTCCCCGCGCTCGACGGTGTTTTTTGAGGGAAAAATGGCTGTGAAGAGGGGGTCGCATGAAACTTCTCGTGAAGGGGGGGGGTCGTAAAAATTGTAAAAAGTTTGCAAAAGTAGGACCGATACTGAGACGAAAGTATCAACGGACGGACCCTGGGGAAGCGGGGGTGCCGTCCAGAAAATCCATCGCGCGGCGAATGTGCAATGAGCAGAGATGGTACAGGGGTGAACCTCTGGCTGGTTGTTTTGGGCCTGCTGTAGCACTTGGGCGTCAAATGTACCAGATTGTATTATTTTACGGGTACTCCGTTGAACTCACGGCGCGAATTCAAAAATGCGACACCCAAACGTATTCATGTTTGTTTCGAGTTCTCAGGAATTTTCTAGGTATAGAGAAATTTTTGCATAAGGATGAGTGTCCGCTATCTTCCTTATAGCTGTAGCCATTCCTGCTCTAGAGTTTGTAATCAAGAGCTTGATCAGGTACGGTGCCCTCCATATCAAATGCACAGCTCGTTACGCCACTTGTGACGCCGTTACTACAGTTTAGTGGTGCTTGAAGAAGTTATATGTGAAGTCTATGATAAAGAGAGCGGAACGTCGCGTGATGACCTCCCGTACCCCATCGGATGTCCCATGCAAAGCGCTCCACCTCATGACAGTCTGTAAGGGTATTGTTGATAGTATTTTGTTGACGAATATCGAGTCAAAGTGGATGCTCCGCTTGAATGTCAGCAATTTTGGTGAAGTAAAGGATTATTGGGGAGAAATGTGAATTTCCTGTCACACTGAGGTCATTCCACTATAGTAAGTTGTCTAATTGTACAAATAGAATGGGCAGGGTAACACAGCAAATATTGTTCTCAAAATCGTCTAGATTATGATATCTTGGGATGATTTTTAATACATTTTTCGTATTACCTTGAACACATTGAAAGAATTCGACTGAAGAACGTTTTTCAGCGAGGTGTTGTCCGAAATGGCATGAAAACGGATGTGACGTCAAGAAGCGTCGGCACCCAGTCATGCATGGATTTGTCTGAGCGTACTCCTGCACGACCGTTCCACAATGCACACACAGTCATCACTGGACGTCAGCAAACCCACAAAGGAGTTAAAAACCGGAACCACACCGCTCAAGAAAACTGAAACCACATCTCGAGGTGAGGCCGAAGAGGTGACGCCCTCTAAAGTGATTCCAACAGCGTCCAAGTCCACGAAAACGACTACAACGGACAAAAACAAACACCGAGATTCGCCACCGTACCTGGAGCATCAACCAGTGATACCAATCATGCTACGTCTATCCTGCCAACACTCTCAGAGAACTCGTATTCGGATGGCGACATGACACCTCCCTTGTCCATAGTCGAAGACTATGTAGAGCAACAGAAATCCTCACCAGGAGCGACAGAGCAGAGCCTCAGTCTGCTGCACCACCTTCTCAACAAGTAGATGCGAGCGCGAAGACGAAACCTCTAGTTAAGAAGAAGCAAAGGGATTACGACGTCAAGATTCAATCGCTTTCCAAGGAGGTGATTGTAGTTTTTGTCAAAACGTATCCTTTTCATAGATATTCTTGGCCTTGTATGTCACCGGCAATGTTTGACGGCGACTCATATCAATCCTGTGACTGGATAGATGGCAATTCGTTCCGTAAAGATTCTTGAGAATTTCCAACGGCTATTTTGAGATAAGATCAAATTTCTAATTAACAAACAAATCGTAGAAGTAGGGCAAAAAATCAATGGGACAAGCTAGCACAAATAGTCTTCAAGTTATGTCACCGGTGACGTAAGCAAACCAGCCCTTTTGGCGCTTCGGCTGGGACCGTATGCTGAATGTTGGGGAGGGGATGGAGTCCCCGACGGTGGACGGACCACTTCAACTCGGTCCTTAGAACCGCCACAATTTGGTGCTTACCTTAGAACTAAGCCTTAAAGAGAGGACGGGTCCGTCCCCTCTCCAAGGCTTAGTCCTGGGGTGAGCAAACCAGCCCTTCTGGCGGAGCTGCTGGACCAGCTGCACCACTTGCGTCAGTACTCTCCTATCGTACCAACCGAGTTGAAGTAAACCGTCGACCGTTGGGGACCCCATCCCCTCCCCAACATTCAGCATACGGTCCCAGCCGATGTGCCAAAAGGGCTGGTTTGCTTACGTCACCGTGATGGTAAAAGATCAATAGAGTATTGAGGATTATTTTTCCGTGATGAATGGGCAGGTGTCAGACTTTGGTGCCAATCATTACGAAATCGCGCTATTCGCTTGCGACTGGTCGCAAAGTTTGACAGCTGGTATGGAGTTCAAACAGGGCACGGTTTGCTCGAGCATTTGCGAATAGGGTCAGCGAATGCGCAACGATTCATGCAATGAAAATTCAGCTGTTTCGATTTCAGCTCACCTCGCTCTTTCATCGTCATGTGAAGATCAGCAGAAGATCAAAATAGCGTGCAGTCTTCAGCGGTAGGTCTGAGGTTGTACTTGTACTTTGTTTGTAGTTTGAGATCAAAAGCAACAAATCCATTTGATGGGGTTAACAAACGGTCGATAATGAGAATGTGGATGCTGAGCTGACAGAAAATGGAAAAAGAAGCAAAGCAAACCGTCGTTGAAGCCCTCAAACAATGACTCTGTCGTCCCTAGAAATGAAGAAGCGGCATTCGGGACGAGTTATCTGAACGTGCTTGCTCCATGGCTCCACTGCGCGCAGTTGACTAGTCGTAATCCATCATGGGGTATGCGCGAGGCATCTCGTCCATTAGCTCACATAAGCCGTCATTACACCACTCGTAGGGCCCTAGCGCCATAGTCGCGCCGGCATGAACGAACGCCTTGCTCCTCGCATATGCTAGAAGCATCGGGGTTCACCACGCTTAGGAGCGGCGTCCATGTCGGCCGTGAGGGTATGGTGGGGACTTACGCTGCGCCCGCTCTCGCCACTCCCCACGCAGAGGTCATTGCCAACGGCCGTAGCACCCCTACGGTTACCGCCGATTACCATGATCCATTAAACCTACGTACCACGGCCGTGCGGCCTACGATGGTACCGGTCCTACAGTCCATCTCGGGTGTTTATGCCCATTCTTCCATACTTCCATCTGCCCGATACGTGGTGATCACAACGGTTTCGTACGAAGAACAGCGGGACTACGTCGGAGCGAGCGAACAGCAAAGCGGCTAGACTTGTTTCCAGAATCTTCGACCAGGCCAGTGCACCGGGACCCGCGCGCACCCGACCGGAATCGTGCGGAAGTCACGACAGCCATTGTCGCGCACTTTCGAGTCGCTACAACGGTACAACTGTCACCCGCGTGCTACTCTATCCTACCCAAAAATGTTTGTTCGACACGACCTCATCTGGTGTTGTTTCTTTGAGGATTGATTAAATGTATTACAGAATAATTAGTGAACAGAAAGACGTGCAACACATACTGCAAATGATCAGTCGAATAGAGACGGAAGTGTGTGGGCGGTCGGAACACAACAAGGACGAGATGACCGGTGCATTGAGGGAATATGCGAAGAAATGCGATGAAAAACTCAACGCCACGAACGAAGCTCTACTCGCAGTGCGTGCTGATCTAGCTCGTGTCAGTGACCAATGCAGCTCGTTACGGCAAACGTCATTGAAGCACGCGAATGAGATTGAGGCTGTTCGCGCCACGTTGAAGACGTCATGTGATTCCGTACGACAGGTCGCCGATGAGCTGACCGCAAAATTAGAGGTGCGTTGAAACCTTTGGAGACTTTTGTCTCTTTACTGAGGCGGATAAACAGCTGAACTTGTCAACTGCGGTCAAGTCCGGCCGTGTCACGGGTCGCGTTAAAGACGCGATGCATAGTTGCGAATCGACCGATTCGCACTAGCGTCCACGTTGTCACGTGACACTGTTTGGAAGTGGCGGAAATTCCTTTAAACGTTGGGTCCCGCCACTATTGAGTCGCTAGTACCATAGTTCGACTCGCTGGTGCAACGTTCGATTCGCTGGCGCAAAGTCGATTCGCTGGTGCAACGCTCGGATCCAGCGATTCGCTAGCGAATCGCTCGATTCGCAAAGTATGAACATCGGCCTTAACCCGATTAGATTGATCAGCGGTTATCACAAACACGTTATGGAATTGTCATGGAAAAGGCCAGTCAAATGTAAGGTAGTTTGTGAAGTGCAGCGATATCGAAAGTCCTATTAGTGTGAAGGAAAACATGAATTGCTCTCAAAGTTGAACAGTGCGATCAAGAAACGCTCAAAGCCATGGCCTGATCTCATGCAGTGAAGGGGGGGGCATGAGCTGCGACAGTTCATGTCAAAGAAATGCTTCACGCAACCCGGTTTTTCTTCTCCTGCGAAAATTGGTTCTTCTGCAAGGGCAGCAACTGTCGCACCACATGTCCACCCCCCCCTACTTTATGAGACCCTCAAGGCCACTGACTTTTTTCTCCATTCCATTTTTAGTCATAGTTTCGGGCCAAGCGAAGATAAAAGAGAAAGACGACAACGCCAGTCGCGCGATCGCCGCTGCCGGGCAAGGAATCCCTACAAACTTTGCTGGTTTTCGTGAGTCTCAGAGTTTCTCTCTTCATTATGTAACTCGACGAACAGATAGATATAAACTAGAAATATAAGAGACAAAAACTAAAACATAGGAGCAAAGCCGTTAAAAAGCTCAAGTGAGGATTCCGCGAGAAGATCTAAGGTCGAGCGAGGGAACCATACTCGTGGAAAGTCATGCGGGCCCCAGAGTGCGAGCCGAAACGCACTTTGCAGCGAAGGGTTCGCCCTGGCGATGTAGCATAGCCCGTCCTCGCCGCTCCGCTATCCGCGCTGTACTCCACTGACTGCTTACAACTCGCCGGCAGGTCTGCGTCTAGCAGAGACGAGAGAGCGTAGCGTTGAAGAGGCACATCACCCGATGCACGCTTAAATTGCCCCGGCAAAGAAGAGGTGTGTTTCTCGGAATCTGCGTCGTTTCTCATGGTGTTATCTTCATTCCAGCATCACTGACCACCTCTATCCTTATTATTTTTTACCAGATTAGTCCCCCGTCAACCGCCGGGACCTTCCTTTCCTGCGCAAGCTTTCTATCCTCCGCTATGGTCCCTTCCTCCTGTGACACCAACACCTCGTGGAAGTGACGCGTATGCAACACAATGGTGTTTCAAACAGTAGAAGGGACACAATCATGATATGACGGTAGATTTTTCGCTTCCCTTCCTCATCCTCCCTTCCTCTCTCCACTGCCCTCCAGCTGCCACTGCAGCACCATGTGGAATGAACGGAAGTGTGCTAAGCAGCAGGGTGAAAATCGTGTCGAGTACGTGGTCGCAGAGGTACGACCCCCCCCCCCCGAAATCGAGATCCTGGCACGACCCCCTCTAACAGAGCAAATTAATTCAATTAAAATAAATCCTGCAAAACAAATCAAAAAAAATTCTGCAAAATAATGCTAAGGACGCTTCATCTTGTCATCTATGCACGTCTTCCATCGCTGCATACTTTTGTGTACATACTGAAATATCGACTCGAGGAAAGAGGCATTAACTTTGTGTGACCTCAAGGCGAGGTTCGTTCAGAAACGCACAGAAATCCTGAAGACACGGGGTTGCGATTCAATCTTGATTCTTGCTTGAGTATATCAAAACAGCCGAGTGTATCAAAGGCCGATTCAACGGCAGCTGCGGCGCGATTGTCACTGGGTCAGATTTGCCGAAATTTCAAAAAAAAACGTCCGAATCTACACCCTCGATGAAAAGGTTGCATTCCTCCATTTCACAACCTTTGAAGCAGCTTGAGGTAGAGTTAGATAGAGCTGGATTTCGCGTTTCCAACAAGCATCGAAATTGCTCTGGAAGCCTTCCTTGCAGAAAGATAGGGTCTGTCAAATTTCGTCGAGTAAATGTCGAGGAGGCCGAAATTTTCACGCGAGTTTTTGCCACTTCAAGAGCAATATATCTCTTATATTGTAAGATCCTGAAAAAGGGAAGATAGTTTTGGAAAGCGGAAGGTTTGCGCTTCCTGATGGTCTGTTTAGTTTTTTCTACAGCTTTTTGGTTGAAGAGATAATTGCGTCGAGGATCTATCGAGGTCGGATCCGGCCACCTGGAAATCCGCTCCCTCATTCACCATTGCAAGTGTGACTCGTTGGCAACACTCGGAATGTGTCTAGAACAATATCTTTGAACGCAAACAATAAGAATAGGAGCAATCGTCATCATCCGATTTGGTATTGGTATAAGCCATGCATCCCTCCTCCACTCACAGTTGCAGAATCGATTGAAAGGTGTTATATGATGGGGACCTTCGAACGAAACTGTATTGTAGTAGACATAGTGTGTTGTGCTATTCCTGTAACCTAAAAAACAACTTCATTTGCCCAGCGCTTTTTCTTCACGGTTGTCGTTTTTCCGACAGGGTCCCTAACAACAGCGTCATTCTCAGCGAGGTATTAAGGGAGAAGGAGCGAGTGATAGGCGGAGGAGGTGCCTTTTGCAGCGCGTGCGCACATGTGGCAGTCTTCTTTGCGGGGATGCACTTTCATTCTTTGTACTGCCTTCAAATACGCCCTTCTCATGAAGGTGGAGGAATGGAGCGACTGAACCTGCAAAGAAAATTTAATATCATGTTTTTTTCGGATGTTTTCATTTTCTGCTGCGCTATACCCTATTACCTATCTGCACCATGATACCACTTCTGTTACTGACCCCCAAGAGTACGACCCCCCATGGACCAGCCCAACAGGTACGACCCCCCTGTCGAGGATTTCCTCGACCGATATTCACCCTGCTAAGCAGGTGTTTATATAGCCCTAAGAGTGTTATCACAACTATCCTGCTACAAAACATTGATATCTCAAATCCTGTAAGCTACCCGATTTGTTAGCGGTTTGTTTATCCCATGAGCTTCCTTCTCACTCACTTCATTTTGCGGACGGACACACATACATACATACACACACACGCACACACACACATACAGATACACAAACCGACACACAAAGTTAGCGCTTTATAAAATAGAAGGATTTTATATTATATATGCACCTCAAGGCGCACATAACTAGAACAACAAACAAAACAAACAGTACACCCTGAACATAAGCACTCGTGGGATGACCAGTAAATAATATTGAGCAGGGCAAAGGGAAGAATTAGCTGAACAAAGTAGGAACAGCCCGACTCTCATGAAGCACCGAAGAGCAGAGACTATGGATAAAAAACCATAAAGACAGAAAGAAACCGCTGGAGAACCAAGGGCCACCTATCTAATGGCCGCTCTCTTCCTCTCCGCGCTTTCAATTAGACTTGAAAGCGCCCTCTTCAAACCATCATAACAAGTCACGAATTCTTTCGATAGATTCATACTGAGCCATTTCAGTCGCATTGCGCAGTTCAGCGACCTCAAAGTTTTGCCTTGAATTAGGTGTTTTGATGAAATCACATCAGGATGCTCACTGGTCAATAAATCATGGTATTGCCGATCATAAGGTTTCATAAAATCTGCATGGCAAAAGAAATGTGAAATCATCACCGGAAACTCGAAGTGCACCCAAATGCCCACCCAAGTGGTCTACGGTTGGCCGAGCAGGTGTCATTAAGTCACTGTGTGGCGTCGCGCAATAATTGTCGCCAAGAAATTGCAGGGCATTCTATTTGTTTACCGTGAAAATTAACGAAGACACCGGTGACATAGGCGGCACCTTGATGGGGTTGAGCTGAGTGAAAGAAAAGTGGTTCGACAAGTGCTGTGCTAATGTACCGACCACAGCAGGCCGCATCTGTGACCTAACGACACTACCGCTGTCTTTGTATTATACAGTCTCCCGCAAGATTGCCGGTAATATTATCAATCGTTCCCATGTTGTGTGTACCGCATCACAACCGCGCGCCTAAATGTCCTTAAAAGTGTACCACTGACCACGTCTTATTAGAATGAACTGAATATGTCTATAGGAACCTAAACAAATTTCTTCCGAAGGCTAGCCAGTTTCAGAGGTTCTTTTCAGCCACCTCCTCCACCACCTCCCCCACCGCTGCAGCCAAGAATGTTTAAAGAGGCCGAAGATAGGCAACAGGACAGCCCATCCGCGGAGTCGTCTAATGGTAGTAGTCGACAACAAATTGCGTTGTCAAATCAAGGAGGTGATGCAACTTCAACAGCACATACTGGCACGGTTAGCACCTGATCTGAATCGAGGTACGTAGTGACTAGAGCAAAAATAAATGCCTCATACGTCTGCGCTGCGCATCCGCTCGCGTGTTGTATTTTTCAATGTTTGCGAAATAAGTAAGATGTAATAGAGAAAAGATGAGGGTTAGGATGTGGCTAAATTGTTTGACTGGCAGATGTTGTGCAAGACGCTATTACGCTCCACCCATTCGGACGAGTTTTCTCACACGGGCACAACTGTGGGTGCTAGCGTAGTTGAGGGGGGCACGCGGCGACGCGGCGTCTGTTCGTCTGTGCTCTCCAAGGCTTAGTCCTGAGGGGCCACTGTATTTCGAAACTGCGTCGCGGCGGCGATGGAAACGGCCCCCAAGGACTAAGCCTTGGAGAGCACAGACGAACAGACGCCGCGCCGCCACGTGGCCCCCCTCAACTACGCTAGCACCCACTGTGCACAATTATGGCAATGCCGTCTTTCTCTTCATCCTCTATAACTAATGAGAAAATCTTGAAAACAGCAACACAATCAACAGCATTTCGATAGCCGCAAGGCGGTAGTCTAGTAATAACTCGTCCAAGAATGGGCGGGCCTAGACAGGGATGTTGTGTCAAGACCAGGTATTGATGATAACCTGAGCGCGGATTTCGGAAATCAGTAACCACAGCGGGTTTTGAAACTGAAACTAATTCTATGTAAATTTATTTATTTTATTTCAGCGCTGGTAAACCAACCACCACTGTGTTTCCGATGCCGGCGCCATTTTACGGACCATTTCTGCCACCACCACAGAAAATGATATATGACTACCATTTCCATATGCAGCAACTTCATCAGCAAATGCAACATCCGCTGTCAGCACCGCCTGCCACCGTTTCTACCTGTGATGGAAGGAAATCCATTGGGTGCACCGTTCCCAGCACCTATGCCAGCTCCTGTACCTGCTCCTGTGCCTTCTCCTGTACCAGCTCCTACACCTTCACCTGGGTCTGGTCAACGTGGAGGTGAAGGATTTCTTCCCCAGGTGAGTTGCAATCTTGAGCACCTTTGAATTCATTCACACCAAACACTGTACACTGGTGAGCCGGCGTGTCGTTCGCTGCTGGATAAGGGCTGTCGTAATTGCGGTCATAACAACACATTTGGCATCAGACGCCGTAGAAAAGCACACGTGACGTCAGTTTTTTCAACACCATATGCACGACTGAACCTGCAGTTACGACATTTCGTCGCAGGGAACAAAGTGGTACAAATTTGCGAAACACGGACTGGTGTATTGATTGACGCTCAGTGCAAGCTTGGACTACGCTTTGCAACTGCGCGCGCCTCAGACTGGTGTCAGAGTCCGCGTGTCCGTCGCGCGATTCGTGAATGATCAAAAATGCCCCGATCAATATCGCAAGGTGCTCTCGAATCCCGCCGCAATATCTTCTTCATAGTGATGATTAAACAACGACTGTTCATGATTCTACTTACATTCATATTCAGTGCTTCAAATGTTCAAATGGGACAGCAGCCTAGGGATCGAAGCGAGTCAATTCGTGAACTGAGTTGCGACAACTCTTTTGAAGCATTTTGTAGTTTGTTGACGAAAATTTAAAATCGAGCATAAAGTGAAAACTATATTTCCAGAGGTATCAAGGGCGAAGCACGGATAGCAGTGATGTGGCAAACAAATCGAGGAGGCGCACAGATGTCAGTTGAATAGCAAGTTTTGAATATAATAGTTGCAGATGTGATGCTATTTCGACTTTATTATTGTACTTAGACTGGGAAAACCGCCCGGAATGGTTTTCTGAAGAAAGCATTCATTTATGGTTTTCGAATTTTCGTTTTAACGAAATAATGATAGTCTTTCTGGGCGGAATAAGTCGTGCACAGAAACGCGTGCGCGGTAGCGGCGCGGCGAGCATCAAGGAACCACGGGCCTATGCAGACGATTCACTTCTTACGAATCTTGTTGTATCACCTCGTTTTCAGCCGATTGTGTTACGATATTACCATAAAACCACTAACATCTCTCTAGCATTGTTGTTTTCAATACAAGCGTTGTTTATTGTTATCTTCTGATAAAGTGTTTACAACTCCACGCGAATTACCTTGGAAGCATGAAGAAAATACGTACTGAAAACGTGAGCATGAGCTTATTCGTATCAAAACTTCAACAATCGCACTACAAATTATGCAGACGATAATTAAAACACTGCCGCTCTAGTCGATGTTTTTTCCGGAAGGGGTAAATTTTAAGTAGTGGTCACTACCATAGGCAGGTGTCAAAGTTTGCAACGAATTGCGAGCAAGTCGCGCGATTCGCTAGCCATTGGTCGCAAAGTCTGACACCTGCCCCGGGGACCGCCACGCATCTAACCTTCACGAACAACAGAGGTATTTGCAACCAAGGATAAAATTGAGTAGCGTAGTCCATTGAGTGATCATTTTTACCTCTCAGTAAGAATTAACATTAAGCAACTCTGAAGAT